GGAATAGCTGCATCGTTGTTGTCCAGTCCTTGGAGCAGTCGGCTAGTGTCCTCATGTAAGCTGGGTCCACTCCTTGGTCGACTAGCGCAGACAGGATGGCGTTGGTTTCGACGCTGTCAAAGGCTTTCTCGTAGTCGACGAATGTTAGGACGAGAGACAGTCGGTATTTCCGGCAAACTTCTATGACCCTTGAAACAGTCTGGATGTGATCCATACAACTGAATCTTTTGCGGCAGCTTGTTCTTGAAATTGGGCTTCATCCAGTGTCCTAGATATGCGAGCGAGGATAAGTTTCGTGAAAAGTTTGTAGAGCACACTCAGCAGGCATATTGGACGGTAGTTTCGAAGATCCTCCCACTTTCCCTTCTTGAAGAGAAGGACGGTTCCTGACGTTCTCCACTGGTCGGGAATCTTCTACTTTTGAAGATAAGATGTTAAATGCGACGCTAGAACATTGTGTGGACGGTGTCCTCCTGCTCGCAGGAGTTCGACGGAAAGATGATCTGGTCCTGGAGCCGTGGACGTCTTCATGGTTTGTATCGCGGTACGCACTTCAGCAGGTAGATTCCTTGGTGGTACTTCTCCAGTGGGAACAACGGGCATCGGCACAGGTGTTGATGAGAGGAAGAGGTTAGTGTAGAAGTTCTTTGCGATAGATTCCATCTTTTGTCGGGAAGAAGTCGGAGTCCCGTCGTCGTTTAATAGTGCAGCCAGCGGTACGTGATATTCGCAGAGGTCCCTTCGGCACTTCTTGAGACTTCGTCTTCTTTCTGCTGCTTCCAGTATCTTGGCTTGCCTGTACTTCCTGAGATCCTCTTGCAAAGCTGTTCTGCAACTGGTGTTGGCAATCAGTCGCTCGAGATGAGTTGCATTCGGATCCTGCCTCAACGATCTTCTTCTTTCGAGCAATTCCTTGGTGGTCTTCGAGATGCGGTCCAAGTTCTTCTCAGAAGTCACTGAGGCGCATTCTCCGCAGGCTCAATCCTTTCAGAAGCCGGTTGTAGTCGTACGTTGGATCCTCCTCAATGGGCCAGTCACAACTTGGTATGAGCTCTTCCAGATTGTTACCGTCATAAACGACCCTTCCTTCTTGCCGCTCTGTGACAGACCTTCTTTTCCAGCATTTGACTGAATCGTATCTTCGCTCGAAGGAGGCGGTGATCGGAGCCACTGCAGAAGGATGGAACTACTGAACATCGAGCAAGCTCCACCTTCGGTTGGTGAGGATGTGGTCGATCTCAGCATGAGTCGTTCGTTGGGCGATTCCCAAGTTTACGTGCAATGTTCCTTTTTCATGAAGATGGAATTTCCAAGGAAAAGTCGTGCGGCGGAGAGAAGCCCAACGAGACGGTTGCCGTTTTTGTTCCGGAGCCCATATCCAAACTTCCCGATCCTATATTCCTCTTCTAGTGGCATCCCGATCTTCGCGTTGAAGTCGCCCACAACGAACTTGTAGAAGGACTTCTCGTTGCGGACGACCTGCTCCACGTCTTCGTAGAAAGCATCTAATTCTGAGTCGTCAGCTGCTAATGCTGGTGAGTAGCAGTTGATGATGCTGATGGTTTTCTGACGTAGAGGTCGCAGTCGTAGGATGGCCAGGCAAGGTGGCAGGATCTCATGTAAATCGACAAAATGGACGATAGATGGGTGGAGACAAAGCCAACGCCTCCAACGTTTTGTGATGGAACCTTTTCACCACGAATGATGAGGGTCCCATCACTCATCTGTCGCACGTCCTTCTTCCCAGAATACGTTTCCTACAGAGCGATGACGTGGTACTTGATGTGCTCTGCAGCGTCGAGAAGAGCGTGGAGATCGGCGTTTGTGGAGACTGTCCTGCCGTTGTAAGGTTGTAAGTGCAGAGCATAAAGCAGTCCCCATGGCGTGTCGTCCGGGCAGACGTGTAGTTTTTGTCCAATCCGAAAGGCGCCCTGAGTACCCTAACATCGTTTTTGCTACCACCCGACGCCGTAGGGGGGTCCGATGTGCAAGGTTTATTTCTCTTCTTTTTGCTGAACGAGTAATGAAATTTTTCCCCCACAAGAGCAGACTTACTAGGCCAACTCTTGATTTCCACGGGGCGATCGCTGACCCGGATGTGGAGCGGGGAGGGACCGCCTAGCGACCAGAGAAAGTCAGAGGGCGGGGATTTGGCCTGGCCTGCTCTTAGCTAGGCATCCGGCCGAAACCGGAAACGTCGAATTCCTTCACAGCTTGGGAGGCCCTGCCAGAGTATACACTTAGCTGTGCATCGCAGTTCGAACCCAGTGTCACCTCCACGCCATGATGAGGCGGCCGACCATTGTGGGGCTGATCAGTTGCCTTGCTCTTCCGAAGCTTAATTTTCACTGCAGTTTAACGAATAAGCTCTCAGAAAATTACCAATATGACCGTTATTTTTTGCCATGATCAAGTTTCTTCATTTCTCTAAATTTTCGTACTCTCCCCCCTCGAAAAGTTTAGTGACAGATGGATAGAGCAACTTCTACGGGATGCAAAACCATTATTTGCTTCTTTCCATGGATAGTCCCAAACGTCAAAGGACACCCGATTTGCTCGGTTGTAGATGTTCTTTGAGGTTTTTATTGACCAAATATGAACTTTATAGCAAAAAGAAATACTTATAGAAAGCTCGAAAAGCAAATTATAAAAGCTGAAATTTTTTCGGTATTCTTTACTGTTATCTACCCTCGATATCAATCCATATGTCTTCCCTCAACATGACGTGGGACGTGGATTGATCACGCGCCGCCTCGCTTCCGGCTTGCGCCCGCCACATTGCGTGCGCATGCGCATCTTTGGCGTGGCGTGACAAGGAGAACAACGTGAAAAGCCTGCGCCACGTTGTTTTGAGCGCCACGTTACGCCAAACGATGCCCGCAACGTGCACAAGCCCGAAGCGAGGCGGCGCCTCATCAATGCACGTAATCCACGTTATGTTGAGGGAAGACATGTGGATTGATGTCGAGGGTAGATACATGTTATTTGGACTTCAGGGGATCAGTACAAAGACTAAGGGCCGCATGCACTAACATCCCCGCGGGGAGGGGATCACAGCTCAAAAGAAAGCTTTATATTTTGAAACTTCAGATACCTGGATTTCGCGTTGTGTACCTATCCGTAACTATTCCTACTACCCTTCACTATGAACATGTTGAAGAGGAGCGAGAAGCTGCACGAACCGCATTTTCCAGCTTTTGTATGATCCCTGATGATCCCCGGCACCTTCCTTCAAAGTCATTTTTCTTTCTCCGAAGTTAACGAAAAACCTCCAAAGTTGTGCAGATTGTCCAACCCGACAGTGCTAAGCATGTTCGTGATAAGAACAAATGATGTTTTGAAGTCATGAAATTTTCGATGATCCACAGGTCGAAATTTGAGATTTACCGAAAAATTCGACTTTTCAAAAACTCATTTGTTCTTATCAGCAACATGCTTAGCAGTGTTGGGTTAGATGATCTGCACAACTTTGGAAGTTCTTCGTTAACTTCGGAGAAAGAAAAATGACTTCAAAGAAAAGCGCCGAGGATCATCGGGGATCATACAAAAGCTGGAAAACGCGGTTCGTGCAGCTTCTCGCTCCTCTTCAACGTGTTCATAGTGAAGGGTAGTAGGAATACTTACGGATAGGTACACAACGTGAAATCCAGGTATCTGGAGTTTCAAAATATAAAACTTTCTTTTGAGCTGCGATCCCCTCCCCGCGGGGATGTTAGTGCATGCGGCCCTAAGTAAAACAGTGAAACTTGACAATTGCAAAAACCAATGTTTGGCGATTTTCTAAGAGTTCGTTGGATCTGTTAATATCGTTCATGAACATTTGTTTGCAGAATGTGGCACTTGGCTTTAAAGCTAAACGTTTGGGACGACCTAATATTTGATAATAGCCGCTCATTGCAGCTACGCGGCAAGTTCGGCTGCGACAACTTTGCTGCCTCGTATATCTTTCGATTTACTCTGTACTACGAAAATATGGGAATTTTTTAGTGGATCTGGCAGTTTGCAAGAAGTAGTTCGCTTTATAACCATAGTTTTATAGGTCACTAGCTTGTTTATCCGCCTCCGCTCGGCCCTGTCAAAACACTGTAACACACGATCCCATCCCTATCCTGTACAGCCTTTCCCTGTGCCCACTTCTACACTTCAGTTCCCGTCCCCTGTGTTGTTTTCGAAATCAGCATGTTCGATGACCCCCCTGTGCCAACTTTCAGCCCTCCAGCTCAAATTTTGAAAAAATCGATAAAATCGGTTAAAGTAATAGGTAATACCCAAAACTAATATTGTATTCGTAATCAACATGTTCGATTACTCCCCTGTGCCAACTCCCAGCCCTTCAGCTCAAATCTTGAAAAAATCGATAAAATCGATAAAAGTAATAGGTAATACCCAAAACTAATGTTGTATTCGTAATTAACACGCTCGATTACCCCCCCCCCCCCTGTGCCAACTCCCAGCCCTATAGCTCAACTTCGCAAAAAATCGATAAAATCGTTGAAAGTAATCGATAATCCTGGAAACTAATATAGCATTCGGACGCCATGCCCACTTATCCCCCCGTGCCAACTCCCAGCCCCGTAAGTGACCTCTGCAAAAAAAATCGATAAAAATTGATAAAATTCACATCGATCGATGACGAAAAGTAGCCTATGACACGCTCCCCGCCCCAAGTATATGTGTGCCAAGTTTGGTCCAAATCAGTTCAGAAATAAAAATTTTTATTCCGCACATAACAGACAGACATACAGACGTTCAACCTTATATATAAGATGGAAATGAGCAGGTTCTAAAGTTACAAAGTGTCAGGTAGTGTGTCAGGCATGATGTACGATACGCTTATCAAGTTAAAAAGTACTCGACAGCAACCTCGTCTCGAAAGCTACGGCTACTTGGTCCTTCGTTTTACGAGAAATACTGCATCAGAATGACGTTGCCGTTAAACACATTTTGATAAAGGACACAAACACAATGCATGAAATATGCGTAAAGTTCATTTTGTCCAACTCTCGCAGTCTACATGCTTGGCCTATAGTGGAATGCTATATGCGTCTCACATGATGGTGCTCAGTATGTTCGTCATGACTACGCAGGCGTCGCAACTATGCAATACCAACGAGTGGGAGCATAAAGCAATGGTTCGTTTGTCTTGCGTACACGATTTTAAAGATTGGGTGATTCTTGCAGATCAGTGCAAAAAGATCACATTTCCACTGCTTTGAAGTCAAGTACACAATCGATAAAGGGAAATGCTTGCTTCTATCATACAAAAAAGGATTTTCTTTTGCGAGAACGGTAGGTCAAAGACGCCATACAATGCGCAATGTATCAACCTTTCTTTCTAGCGTGAATGCCAAATCTCAGCTGACTCAATAGTTTGCACCTGTGCAAACGATTGCGAAGAAAATGACAACAGCAACATTGAGGTGGGGTACCTGATCACTCTATAAAAGAATGAAATATGTTCGTGTTGTGTGTGTTGGGGCTGAATCAAAGTTAGAAGATGTCTTCTTCACACCTGCGCAGCTCGAAGCAGGAGTTCTTTTTTCTGTCCTGCGCTCGGACATAGGCGACTTAGCTGATTGGCGATGGTTGTCCTTGTGAAAGCCCAGATGCGGGAGTATTGTACAATTTTCAGACATTAACGCTTCATCTCTGCTTGGCAGAAGTTCGCACTGGCTCTTCTGTCTGCATGCCTTCCTCATGCTCGCATAGGGTTAACTTCGAAACTCACAATGCAATGCTGACCATCACGAAAGCATTGTAAACAAACACTCATCCCAAAAGCTTTTTCATCCAAGAGCGGTAGCTTGAGAGCAGAAAACGGGGGACGGAACTTAGGAACCCGAACCTAATGGGGGACGGAACTTAGGAACCCGAGCCTAATTTGCTCGATTTGGGGAGTGCCTGCAGGTTACAGTCATGCTCGCTGGCTCCGATTACTCACTAGAAGATAGCAACAATTTAAGCCCCGCCCCCTTGAGAGCCTGTTTGGAACCTAGCCAAGGAATGCTGAAAATCTCAATTGAATTTCAGGGCTGGCTCTAAGCCAAAAACCTTCAAAGTGATCGTAGAAGGTGAAATTAGGCTCAAACGAAAGAGAAAAACCGTGCCATCATCACAAAGCAGCTACTGAATTGAACTGATTGAACCACAACATTTTCTTGGTTCAGAACTTTATTCAAGTGTTAAATTACTGAGAAATTATTCAAAAAACCGTCAAGTTTCAGAAAAAATTATTTGAGTGCTAAATCCGGGCAAAAGACTAGAATATCATTCGAGAAATGACAGTTCAAAAACTCTCAAGATTGATAGTTATTTGAATGCTGAAATTTAGGCGAAAGACTAGAAAATCAATTGCGAAACGACAGTTTATGAAATTCACAAAAATAAAAGCTTGTTTGTGTGCGGAAGTCTGGGCGAAAGACTAGAATATCAAGAAATGAAAAACAAGAACTTCTCAGAAATAATAGTTTTTTTTGAGTGCTGAATTTCGAGCAAAACACATCAAGAAATGCCACTCAGTAGTTAAAACTACCACAATTGCTACCAAAATCACCTGAGGTTCACAATTTAGTACACGAACAGAATTGGGGTCTGCCGATGAATAAAATTGTTGCAGCAGATGCTGCATGTGGGAATAAAAATAATCGTCGTAAGACATGGGAAGTTGGGATATCGATAGTAACGATAAATGGTTTTCACCCTAAAGGGCTTCTATTTATAAGGGAAATTTCGCCTCAAACTGTTATTGCAACTTTTTCTTGCGTAGGTTGAGGTCATTGCTTCCAGCATATTAGCAGGATGTTCTTCGCACATCAGAATCATCTGTCGTTGAGACTCAGCAATATCATTAGTGAAGTTCTTGATTTTTCATTTCTTGATATTCTAGTCTTTTGCCCAGACTTCAGCACACAAACAAACTTTTATTCTTGAGAATTTTATGAACTGTCGTTTCGCAATTGATTTTCTAGTCTTTCGCCTAAATTTCAGCATTTCAGCAAATAACTATCAATCTGAAGAAGTTTTAAACTGTCACTCTAATGTTATTCTAGTTTTTTGCTAAGATTTAGCACTCAAATAATTTTTTTTGAAAAACTTGACAGTTTTTTGAATAATTTCTCAGCAGTTTAACACTTGAATAAAGTTTTGAACCAAGAAAATGTTGTGTTCAATCAGTTTAAATCAGTAGCTGCTTTATGATGATGGCACAGTTTTCTCTTTCGTTTGAGCCTAATTTCACCTTCTACGATCACTTTGAAGGTTTTTGGCTTAGAGCCAGCCCTGAAATTCAATTGAGACTTTCAGCATTCCTTGGCTAGGTTCCAAACAGGCTCTCAAAGGGGAGGGGGTTAGATTGTTGCTGTGTCCTAGTGAGTAATCGGAGCCAGCGAGCATGACTGTAACCTGCAGGCACTCCCCAAATCGAGCAAATTAGGCTCGGGTTCCTAAGTTCCGTCCCCCATTAGGTTCGGGTTCCTAAGTTCCCGCACCCCAGAAAACTTGTGTGTAGAAGACTTGATACGTATTCAGTCACGAATTGATCATGTTTTGATAGTTTCTATAAAGGATCATTACCATCAACATGCCTGGTTAAAAGTCTTAGTTTTCTAGGGAGAACGTTAAAAATTTAACGATTTACCGAATCGTTTCCTTTTGGCCCTTCTCGCGGAAACTATGCTTTTTGCTTTTTTTTGCTGTCCATAGCTCGCAGATTCATAAGCCAAACAAATCTATGACTATGCAAATCTCAAAATTCGGCTCAGCGACATCCGCTTTATAGATCCGTTTGATGCAGCTTTTGCCCACGCAATAGAGGGAGGGACCATCTAAACATAGGCGAGGGGGAGAGAGACTGTGACAGGAAGTTTTGTTTTAGTAAAACTGCTTGGTATAGGATATGCTCCGCAATCGGAACTCTTCAAGTATTCTAGAAGTTTATAAGCTTATGTTAAGAGCCGTCCTCCTTTCTCGTAACCTGGACATTCTAGTACAACTTCACATGATTTTCTGTGCCGTACAGGTTTTTAACAATGATACACTTTATTGCCTGACGTTTCGGTTACACACCGTCTTCAGAGGCCGGTGTGTAGAACCTGTACGGCACAGAAGATTAAGTGAAGTTTATAAGCTTATTTGCAGAAAGGTTGTGGCAGCAGCTAAGTCCTAGAGGAACCTCGCAATGCTAATTTCTGAAGACAAACATAATTTCATGGCCATTTTTCATCACCAGAGAATTTGATCAGCAGTTAAACGTCTTTCACTTCAACTTCGTATCTGCTTTGTTGATACTACGCGCAAGGAGAGCGATTCCTCAAAATAATGATCTTGCATAGAAATTCTCGTCCTGCAACTTCGTTCTGTTCAATTCACTTCTCACCGCAAGGCCGCAATGAACAGCTACTGCGATACAACATGGTCTTTGCGGACCTACCCATGCCCCTTACCTTCTTAGTTGACGTAGTCAAAGGGCCTACCTTTGCCAAAATTGCTTCTACATGCAGAGTTATTGCAAAGGAGTCGCCATTGCTTAAAGGCAGTGTCCGGGCAAGAACTCGATTTTGAGATTTTGTGCTTACCTGGGCCTATTCGCCATGCTGAATCCGAAAATCTACATTGGAGAGCGCGAAAACGGCGAAAAAGGGCTCTAATACTGGAAGGAAATCAGCAGGTGGGCGGGGTCTTCCCCACTATGAATTTACGCTCCCAGCTTCGGGGGCATCTTTTTGATTCCGGTTTCAAGTCATTCGTTTGCACTTGATCGGTAGTGATGTCAGGGAGGCTAACGGATTCGAGAAAATTGCTCTGGAAGCTGGAAGCGTGAATTCACAGTGGGGAATACCCCGCCCACTTGCTGATCTCCCTCCAGTGTTAGAGCCCTTTTTCGTCATTTTCGCGCTCTCCAATATGGGTTTTCGGATTCAGCATAGCGAATAGGCCCGGGTAAGTACAAAATCTCAAATCGAGTTTTTGCCCGGACACTGCCTTTAAAGGCAGTGAGTGGCTCGGGAAAATTGCGACTGCGAGCTTTCCACGACTACATGACCTTCTGGACCAGCTGAGTCCGGCACTGCGCTTGAAAAGTCAAAAAAGTGTTTTTTGGCGTTTCGGGGCCTGGCGATTGCTGGGGAGGCGGGGCGAGCGATCCACCCCAAAATGAGCAACCAGTTGTAAGAGACTGTGACTCCATCTCTTTTGGCGGCAAACTGTATCGCGAAGGCTGCGCTGATCAGCCAATTGCCCTCAAAATAGGTGGAGTTACAGTCTCCAGCAGCCAGTTGCTCCTTTTGGGGTGAATCCCACGCCCCGCCCCTATAGAATGTCGAAGGCCCGGAAACGCCAAAAAGCACTTTTTTAACCTTTCAAGCGCAGTACCGGACTCAGCTGGTCCAGAAGGCCATGTAGCCGTGAAAAGCCCGCAGTCGCAATTTTCCCGAGCCACTGCCTTCAAGTTTAGATGACCTCCATCTCAGATCGGTGTTTTCGAAACGTTTCTTGTTGGCATGTGAAACGTCTCTAAAGTTTTTCGCAGGTTGTGGCGTACCCACAACAGCGCCTAATCATTCTCCAACTTATAACGTCGCACTTAATCGTTTCCGGATGTCAATCAAGATATATTTGCCATTTAGTGCCAACCAACTAAGTTGTAGGCTGTGCTCAGATTCTTGGGATTTGCCACAGTTTGGACCTTGAATGTATGTCACTATCAAATGAACACTGCCGCTTTCACGGCCTGGATGGAGTTAGATATGGGATATTAGCGTATGAATGGCTAATTAAATGCGTTCACATTTTGTTTGCAGTGCTGTAACGTTTTGTACCTCCAGTGAGGCAGGTCCTAAAAATCGGTAAGGAATATGTGTAAGTAGCATAATTCACACTGGTGTTCGCCGTTCCCGGATCCAGTTATTCGATTTACAGAGGTGATTCACAAAAAATGACTTGACTATTGTGGTTTCTTTTCTGATTGGATAACGCAAAAGCATTAGCTATTCCCGCAAATTGATTTATTTATTTATTTATTCATACGCTCTATGGCGTTCCTTACAAAAAGAACAAGAGAAAAAAAATACACACACAGTAAATCGAACAACCCCAGTCAAGGACCACCGTGCCGTTGGGTCCATACCTTCAAATTAGTTAAGAAGTATGTTTGAATAGAGCTTGCATGTGACTGCTCTGGACTACAATTGTCATAAAGATGTGATCATGGAGATGGTACCCATGCCCCCATTACTGCCAGCGAAACGTCCCTGAGATAAACTATCTAACTCAGGATTGCATGGTGGATATACTCCCACCGCATGAGGCTAATAGGAAGAGTCAGTTACTCGAGAATACTTGATTAATAAGAATTGTTGTAATGGAACATTGTAATCGAGAAGATCAATAGGTAGCTGCAAGTTGTGGAGGTGGTGATCCTTCAGACTCATACGCTAGCAAAGTGCTCTCGAAATACCAAAGTAAGCAAAGCGGGCTTGGTCAGTAGAGTAGCAGAAAAACCTTGCCCAAAAGAATTCCGGGGAGAGACCAATGCTCCGAGAGAAAATCAACAAAATTCCGCGTTAATAACTCAACTAGAGCAAGTCAGCAAGCTTTAAAGGTTGGGAAAAGGAAGATTGTTGTTCAGGCCTGCACTAACATGGTGGCTTGATATGGGTTATAAGGCCTTGGCCATACCCTGCCGGTGTTGTCGACACCGCCAGTGCCACCCGCGTCACCGGCGCCGCCGACGCCACCAGTGCCACCCGCGCCACCCACACCCCCAGCGCCACTGCCTTTGAGCGGTAATACTGGGAACATGAGCAACACGAGCGACACCAGCAACATCGGCAACACCGGTAACACGAGCAACACCGGCAACATCGGCAACACCAGCAACATGAGCAACACCACCGGCAACATCGGCAATATGAGCAACACCGGCAGCATGGCAACACCGGCAACATAGCAACACCGGCAACAAGAGAACACAGGCAACATGGGCAACACAGGCAAAGCATGGCCAAAGCCTAAAAAATGCAGAAAGAAATAGTATATGTAGAAAGACGAATATCAGTGGCCGTGTTCGCTCGAATATGGCAAAACAGATGTCGGACTACCATCGCACGTATGAGAATGTAGATGTTGATGCTGATACAGTTGATGCCGCATAAGGAAATAGAGATTCAGTTGCAGTCCAGACGGTAGATGGAGCATAAAATATCAGCCATAATTCATACAGCACAAAATAGTCACCAGACAAGAAAGCACTCATGAGCCAGATCTGAAAAAGAAACATTAGAACGAACTCAAAACAGAGAAAAGACAAAGGTTATAAAAAAAAGGCTATATATGAAAAAAAACCACATCGTAGACTTCTTAGCTCAGACAGGCTATGGCTATGGCTTCTACCTGAATCAAATACTTACAAAAGACGAAAACATCAGCACAAGTACGAATCACTCTCAATAGATTTGGGAATTTCTGACTTTTCTAGAGCTTTCTTGAAAGCCCGACTAGTATTAGCCGACTGCAACTTAGCGGGCAGTCGTCTAAACCAGCGAGCACATCGATAGAATAAAAAATTGAAAAGGCCAGAATAGCAGTGTTTATCCAGTCTAGGGTAGTGAAGATTGAAGCCTCCTACCCTGGAACTTACAGGTCTGAAGACCCAAAAGCTGCTGGCAGGAAGGTCAATCTCTTTCCGCAGTATCGCAAAACAAAAAACTAAGTCAGCAATAATTCTTCTACGTTTCAGTGATTGCAAACCAAAGAGTCTCAAGCGCTCATTGTAATCTGGTTTGGATCTATCTTGCATATTATGAGACATGCGAAAAAAGACCATCCGTGTAAAAGCATGTTGAACTCTTTCAATCTTAACAATATCTTTCTTTGTGGAGGGGTTCCATACTTGAGAACAATATTCAAGATGTGGTAGCACATAAGCCTTATATAGTCTGGTCAAAACAACTGGATTAGAGGAGTGAATAACACGAAAGATTGAAAAAAGAATAGAATATGCTTTTTTGACAGCAGAATCAATATGTTTGGAAAAATTTAATTGAGGATCAACAAAGACACCTAAGTCTTTGACCAGTGGGCAAGCTACCAAATCTATTCCATTGATTTCATATTTGTCTGGATTAATTTTGCCCAGATGTAAAAATGAGCATTTGTTCGGATTGACAGAAAGGCCGTTTGAAGAAGCCCACGTATTTAGTTTATTTAGGGCTTGTTGCATCGATGTATGCACATCAAGGAAATCATATTCATTGTAAGATGCATACAGTTTGATATCGTCCGCATAGATCTGGACATCAACTCCGTTCAAGTCAATTAGAGCGGGTAGTTCAAAGGTGAAAATCAAAAAGAGAAGCGGAGAAAGCACACCTCCTTGAGGAACTCCACTAGTGCAACGGTACTCATTGGAAAACGACTGTCCAACTTTGATGGTCATATATCGGTCTTGAAGGTAAGAGCGAAACCAGTTCAGAAGATTGCCAGAAATGCCAAACTTCTGGAGTTTCCTTATCAAGACATTATGAGGAATCTTGTCAAAGGCCTTTGAAAGATCAACATATATTATATCAACTGATTTTCCAGTGTTAAGAGCTTTTCTCCAGTCAAAAACGCTTTTAACAAGATTAGTAGTAGTAGATCTTTTAGAAACGAAGCCATGTAATTGAGGTGGAATTCCATAACATTTCTCGATCCAAGAAAGCAGCTTTTTCCTTATAATTTTTTCCATCACTTTGACTGGAGTTGAAGTTAGACTTATAGGACGAAAATCAGACACTTTAACGGCAGTACTAATTTTTGGGATAGGCACAACCACTGATTTTTTCCATATAATTGGCACTTTCCCGAAATACATGGAGAGATTGAACAAGTCCGAAAGGGGTTTGGAAAGTACATCCGCACATTTTTTATAGACTATAGGCGGTATACCATCGTAGGGTTCAGTACAAGAAGGATGCAAAAGTTTCAAAGCAATGCGAACATCAGATTCATGGAAGTAGACATTATCACAAGTCTGCTGAGGAGAGGTGTAATTCAGCGGACAGCTTACATCATGACCATTTGCGAAAACACTAGCAAAATACTTCCCCAAAGCCTCTGCTCTATCAACATCATTGACACATTCTTTACCAAACTCATCAACAACATTGGAAAAGCCTTTGGTCTGCAGTTTGCTTCGTATGTATCCGAAAAATCTCCTAGAATTTGCATAAGAAGACAACCGTCTTTCAAAATTGGCCAAAAATTTTTTAAGATGAAAATCAAGATCAAGACAGACTTTTTTGTATAAGGCATTAGTCAAAGGATGCATTGAAGCATTAAACAAATTTTGCTTTTGATCTAGAAGAGCACAGATGTGCTTGGGGTAATGAAAATTTGATGGACTGTTGATGGTTTGCATACATCCAAATTTGCCAAGTCCTTCGTAAACTTTGGTACAGAACCTATAATAGGCGTCGTCAAGGGAGGTATGATTTACAAACAAAGAAGTCCAATCAAAAGTATAGAAATAATCGTTTAATCTAGGATAATCAAATTTGGGAAAGTCAGGGATAGGATATATCGTCTATATTTATGAGTAGAATACCCAACTACCGAAAGATGTGCCTTGACTGTAGTTACTTTTTCGTACAGTTACGCATTCGAAGCCTTGCATACTGGCTTTCACTCGAATCTACAATTTCATAGCTAGAGCTAAAGGCCGCGAAGCGCAAGCTCGGGAACCTGATATAGCAAATGCGTATGGGCACCACAAACATCGGAGTGAACAGACACATGCAACCTAGGTTATGCCGAAATCGGGCTGACATGTGTTCGTCACGCAACGAAGAGTATCTTCTTCTTGCGACGGTATTATAGTACAGGTGTCCCAAAAATATGTATACACTGTTTGACGGTTAATATCTCTCTTCCCAAGGAGTCTTAAACCTACCTTAAGATACCATTTTGTAGAGCTGGCTTCAACTTAGATTTGCAGTGTGCAGCGAACCACCGATCGCTCTTCGATTCTGTAGGATTATGGTGGGAACTTTGGCTTACAGCACCGTCGTGGGTTAGCCATGTTTCAAAAAAAATTTCCAAAAATTCTGAAAAGTGTTGTACCAGTGATTTTACGTGCCCTGGTTTCATTACTCAACTTTCTAAGAGTTTGTAAAGCTTCTCAAAGGATGTGACTGCAATTTTAGGGAGCATTGTAAAAACAGCTATTACGGCTTACGGGCATAAATCATAAAGGAAGCATCGCGGTCAAAGCAAAGTGCATATTTGGTTTTAGCGATTTTAATTAGTCTAGTGTAAGAGTTTACAGATTGTTTGGTTTACTTTTTGATGTGAAATAGGACCTTCAATGGTTCAATCCTTCTCCATGTTCCTGCCGTAATCCTACAGTATCGAAGAACGATCGGTGGTTTGCTTCATACTGTAAATCTAAGTTGAAGCCTGCCAAAGTGTTACCTGAAGGCGGGCAAAAGATTTCTAGGGAAGGGAGATATTAAGATCAAACAGTGTACACATACTTTTGTGACACCCTGTATATCGCGGCAAGAACTTGTGTCTGCGTCTTTTCAATCTCTTCTATAATCGTTTGCAAAATGCCAGCGCTGGGTGCCTCCGCTTTCATACGAGACCGATTAAAGAACAGACTATACGTGTAGAATTAGCTTGCTCAACATATAATGAAGTAGAACACATAGTGAATGAAATAATTTTAGAATGCTATCAGAGCCAATATCATCCTATCCGCACAAGAAGATGCATGGAAAATCGACTGCTTCGAAAGATTGCTTCAACTGAGGAAAAAACATATTTTGAAAAAGCGTCTTTTACTTCGTGGCAGCGTATCTGCAAGAAGTGATGGCGAAGTCGAAAAAGTATCCGTCGGTCATCCGGCTAGTTTGCTGAACGGTATGAAAAAATTGAAGCTCTGGCGACAAAAGAGAGAAGAGGATGATGACAGCGATGTACCAGTAGATGAGAGCACTTCTACCACTATCTCTTCTAGCACAACAGCACTTACCGCTTTGTATACAACTGCAGGAAAAAGTATCAAAAGTTTCTCAGTACTTCTCAGTAATTTTAATTCTCAATTTTCAGCTACCCAAACTACAGAAAAGCCAGCAGATCGGACTGAAACCACCACTTCTGTCACGATTTCTGCTAAACCTTCGACAACTGCTGTGTTGTCTACAAGTCCATTGAAGACGTCAACGAGTATGTCCACAACTCCTTCTACAACTTTAGCAACTACTCAGTTGTCCACAACTCCTTGTACGACTTTAGCAACAACTCAGTTGTTCACAACTACTTCCAAAACTTCAACACTTACCAAGTTAACCACGATTGTCACGACGACGACCAAGTCAACCACGACTAAGACTTCAGTAGCTATCAAGTTGCCCGCGACCGCAGAAAAAAGAGCTCTGCCTTCATCTATATCTCAGACAAGTCCTAAAAGTTCAGCTTTTGAAAAGTCGGCAGTAAGTACGGATACAACTGCTATACCGTCTACCGCACCTACGAAGAAAAGTATTGCCCCTATCATCAAATCTTCGAAAAGAAGCTCTGCAAAGGATGTGATGATGACACCTATAAACAAATCTTCGAAAAAAACTTCGGCAAAAAACGTGGCGACGACACCTTCAACCCACTTGCAGTATAGGAATGTAACAAAATCCCAATCGTTCAATGCTACCACAATAGGCAAGTACTTTAAGATTTGTATGAGAGATTTAGTTGTTTTTTTTCTGCAGATTTGGTAGAGGAAGAAGCAACGGAAGAAGCATTGGCACAAGTGAGTTGCTATGCTACCTAACTAAATAGTAGCAGGGCTCGGCACGGCTGCAGAGCTGGGTATCGCTATAGAGCAAAAAGAAAGGGGCATACATGTGATTGGTTTAGACAAGCCAGTTTTGGTGTCGTCGCCTCAGACAAGTGCTACACTTAACCCACTATATACTTGATTTACTTCATCCGCTTCGTTACTGATCAATTCATTAATCTGACCAATAGCGAAGTGGATCAAACAAAGGAAGTGGATCAAATAAAGGAAATGAATTAAGTGTTGCGCAGTCTTACTCACCTAATCACCAAGTGCAGACTCTGTTTCTGGCAACTCAACGCAACAAAGATGAAGGCGCCAAATCCTCCAATCTGACTATTAGATGGCTTTAACAATCTTGATTTGGCTGAAGAAGACAATCACAAGTTGAAACGCTATGCTAGATTCGTGAACAAGCGGACTAATATTATAAAAGTAGATATGTTTTTGCAAGGCGATATTACAAAGGAAGATATGTTTTTGCAAAGAACAAGTAAGGGGACCGAGTAAATGACCATCATTCACTTTAGGTGTCAGGCGTTAGAAGACAAATGCAGCTGGACATTGGGACCCTATCAAGCACTCCTGCCTCAATGATTTGGCAGCAAAAACAAGGAAGGGAGGGGTGATGGTCAAGAATGCAACCTGAGAGTCATGCGCAGAAATAAGTGGAACACTTCTCGGTGCTATATTGTCAGCGGCTATCCATTCGCACCCTTTGACAATTTTTGCAAAGAGCTGGAAATCAAAATTGCTCTTCAATGCGCTTCGGACCGGTGCTGCACATTTTGCATCACTGAATTTGGAATTGTCTCCCTCTACGATCCGTCTCATTCCGAAATAAGACCGCCATCTATAGGCACAAGTCTACTGTCCAAACCTTTCTGCGCTAGCTTGTCTTGTTCCGACAAAGGAGTGGTACAGAGTGAATTTCATTGCAAATCTTTGCGACGTTGCAAACGCCACGTGCGACAAGGTCTCCGCGCGGTTCAGCCTTGAGCTGGCTAATTCGCATATTCAGAGATCCGCTCGTTGCAAAGCATTGGATACAAGAGCTGATTAGGAAACGAAACTCTTTTACCTTCACGTAAACAATCTATGAGTGGGTTAGTAGGAATGTGTGCAAGGTGTGTTGTTGTTTGTTCAAAGGGATTATTTGACATGCAAGATACGAAAATGAAACTAGTCATGTTTGGCAGGGCCTCTTTCTTATGCTTAGTGTTGGCAGTGACGGATCCAGAAGTTCCGTCCGAGAGGGGAACACAGATTTATCTCGGATGAAGGTACGTGGCTTAACCACGCATTCCAAATGAATAGGTTCCTGCGCAGGTTCCTTCCTTGCGCATTCTCCAAACTTCACCAAATTAACGGCTTAGTTCAGCGCTATCCAATGCCTTCAAGGTACCAGATACAGTTCTCTAGCTTACCAGCTGTCTGAAGTTACCACTAGATTTGACAGCCTTAGTGAGAAACTGATCAAAACATTCAGGAAATTGCCCTTACGATTAGTTGCATTTTCACGTTTTTTTGACCCTCAACGTTTGACTTTAATCGTTTTTGAATCTTCAAGGCAATTAAAGGCAGTGGATCGGCAAAACTCAACAATTCAGATTTTTACGCGATAGATTCCTTATCGCCTAATTATAAAAACAGCGCAATCCCATTTGCACAGCATGCCTTCCTTGCCCAGGAAAATGGCTCTCAAATGTACACGTGCAGGCCAATCTTACACGCTCCGGGCGAGTTGACAATTCCTCCTCACTTGGAGGCTGCTCGCCGCAATGCTATAACCATTGGGTCCCGCAACGATCCAACATCATCAGCCTTGCACTACTCGTCCAATTCCGAAAGGAAGGGCCTTGAAAAACGCTCGTTTTCACAGTTTTCAAACTCGCAGAAGTGGTTTTTCGGGATCAGCGTATTGAATAACCCCAGGCAAGCGAAAATTTGACTATTCTAAGATCTGCCGAGCCACCGCCTTTGAGTTAACCCGTGCAACGATCTTCTGTATGTCTTTAAAATTTAAAAGGCTTCTAGAACGTTATTAAACGCTGAAAATGCCCTACTTGATGTCCATTTGGCAGTAAAAAACGCGCTTCACTCCGATACATGTTGCGATTGGTATGCGTGAAGGGTCCATATCTTGCTAGTATGTCTGCGTACGATATCCGACATAGTGTTAACGAATACCGTATTTTCATCATCACCGATGCCGCCTGAATTACGATTATTTTTTCTCTCTGATTACTGTCGTTTGAGGAGTCAGAGAGTCCTTGCTCGCAGCCCCTTTTTAGCACTTTCTGATCGGAGGAAATATTTATCTGTTTTTCCGGTGCATGCCTAACGCGGCGATTGTCAGAGTTGGTGCCATCGGAGTTGAGGCCGACTATTTGTTCGCACTTTTTGACTTTTCATACACAAAACTAATCCTCATATCGAAAACTACATGCCAGTATAGACTAGTATCGAGGGCTCTAAAATTTCCAGGTGCAAGCCCGTGCCAAGCCTTGGTTTCCAGTCTTTCATCCTTCAGTGTTTGCATTGCAGACAAAGTCTCGCAAAGGGGATGTAAAAAATCTTGTGTGAGTCAAAGTGTCTTTAATGTATCATTACCACTACCAAGTTCGTTCGAGATATTTTAACTCATTTATTCCAGCCTGCTAACCTACCTCAGAGCGTTCACTGTGATCGGCGCCATGGCAGTAGTGCTCTTCCTACAATTGTGTCTTATACATTGCATGATGGTCCGTCGTAGAGAAGCATACGAGAATATAGAGTCTGTGCAAGAATCCGCACCGGTTGCTGATAAAAGCAGGGAGAAGACATCTGACAAAAGTAGAGAGAAGGCATCTGACAAAAGTAGGGAGAAAGTAAACGAGACGAAGAAGGTATCTTGGTTTCGCCGTATTTTCAAGCGAAAGAAAGAAAAAGGCGATGTCAGAAAAGGGGACAAGGAGAAGAAAGAAGTGGAGGAAAAGAAAGTGGAGGAAAAGAGACTGCCTAATGAACCGCTGGTACCATATCATGCACCATTCCAATTACTTTCACCTGCTGAATTGGCACCCACACAAATGTCGAACGTTCATCCCGCACCGACTTTGGCTCCTCCAATCAAATCTGTAATAACCGCATCCAGTCCTCCCACAGCTGATCTATTCATGACACCTGGGGATGCGAATCGTCCCCCACTTCCCAAAGCTGCCAGCCCTGGACGCAGTGCTAATCATGGCCAGAAAGGTTTGGAAAAGAAAGCGAAAAAGCGAAATGATGGTACAAAGTCCACCTACGGTTGGGAATGGATGTGAACTCTCTTCTGTTACGTTATGATAGAGGCATTATATCTATTAACTACACAGTTGCAATTCGTGGAACATCTCTGTTTGATAACATTAAAGGAGCGAGTAAAGATGTTTCGCCTTGTGTCTTCTTGTAAAAGCATAAGAAACTGAACTGGTTTGACAAAATCGAAAAATAGAAACTTTAAGAGAGTTAGAAGTAGTTTGACTGAGTTGAATTCTGAGTTTCGCAAGTGTGAGATAGTACACAGGTTCGCATTTGTAAGCAGTCGTAATTAGTTCAAATACCCTAGAATAGTCCGAATCTCAAATTCTTCAGTTACAGACACAAAGGATGTAATTGGTGAAAGGAAGGAGTCTAAACTATGCCTTATTTTCTGCATACATTCTTCTGCAATTCATTCTTTGAACAAACTAAATAGTTTACAAAAAGTCTACAAAATGAAATTTGGTTCAAGAAAAACACGGAAAGTCATCAATTTTCTTGTTTTTTTTTCGGTGGGTTGATGGCAGACAAATACTACTGGTTATTAGTTCTGATGAAGTGCAGTCTATCTGAACAGATAGATATGTTTAACCAGGTTGTTTTCCAAATTTTCTCAAGCAGGATTCATTAGGCAGGATGAGTTCTGTAATAAAAATAAAGTAAAATCAACTAGCGTAATAAAATTAACCTTTCTTGTGGAATACAAGGATGCATCTTCAAAAATGCTCTTCACATATACAGATTTGTGGAAGGGGCGTAGCTTTAATCACGTCCTCTGAGGAAATTTTTCGGGACGTTCTCTAAAATTCTTGCGGCCTATAAGCCCGAAATCAAGAAAAGGGAGCGTGGCGGCAATCATAACCAGGGCCCGGCACCGATGGTTTGGGGTCAAACTAGACTTCGTTTCTGGAGTTAGAAGCAACGGGGACATCGTTATTATGAGATCCTGGAGGAAGCGCCAAAAAAACACGATGAACATCACGTTTTCAACAGGTTTCACGAGTTGAACGTGTTCTTTCGCAATCGCGCGAATTTCAAATGCAAGACTCAAACAAACAAATGGCTTGTTTACAGCGCACAAACAAGCACATGGCTCCGAATTTGGGCTATGAGTACACAATATTACTCCAAACTATGTTATGTAAAAAGTTCCCAAAACTTATGTGTCCTAATATCCGTTCTCGAATTTGTTGGTTTCTAGACCAGCTACCACCAACTGGGTTGGTTCGGAGCATAAATATCGGAGAGTTCACATAAATTTTGGACCTTTTTGATTTGGACGATTAGAACGGTCAAAAATCTATCATATAGTGAAGAGAGCGGATCAAACCGTTGCCTCTCCCCCTTTTTTGAGTCAAAAGTAGTAAAATTCTACGCGTTGATAGATATCGCGCTCCAATAACTTGCGGTGTCCTTTGAAATATGTGGCGAAAAATGCATCGCAGGATTGCTGAGGCTACAGATTTGGTTGGCCTAGGAGATTCTCGACATTCCCAGCGTCAAAATGGTACTATACCCAATGGCAGAGCCTTTAATCGACTCGAAATGTTTTCTTTTTGCTTTTTTGTTACATTACATACCTCAAAATGCGCTTTTTTCGCTTTTTTGTTGCTGTTTTGGTTGACTAATGGTTTCCCTACTGATTTTCACGTCGAGAGGGACTTCGTAAATTCTCGCGAATTCATGGGGACTTCGTTTCCTAAAAACCTCCAAACCAACGCGTGAGGGGCCCTGATCATAACCCAAAAAAATTTTTAGTTTTTAAGGGTAATTTGATTCAAAATTTTCAACAATAATGATTATTCACCAGTGTAAAAAACATTTGCGCAAATTTTTTTACCTGCGTAGGCTACTTTCACATATTTCGCAATCATTCACGAAACGGGGCGCACCACCTAAGCCCTTCTTTTCTGTTCGCCACTGAAAATTGCGTGTTGCCAAACGTCCAAATATACCGTGTTTTAGGCAACATTAGAGAGCAAACTCTTTCAAAGAAGTCAGGAGCGTTGCCTATTCTGTGAGTACATGGGCTCTTCTCCATGTCTTGGAGCTTGGTTTTTATTGAGCTGTTAACTAAGTTTTGCCACTGAGTCCGTGATCGTGCTCACTTTTTGGCAATGTAGAATGTTGTGTGGTAAGCTGGCGCAAACCACTTGCTTTATAATGACAAAATAGAACAAATATAAAGACTTTTTGAAAACCAGTGACATTCGAGGATTCATGGGGTTATAAGTAAAAATGAAGCTGTCCTCAGTCTAATCATTCAAAACGATCCTAAAGTGTACATGAATTTTTGCTGAAAGTTGATTATTTGGCACAATAAGAAAGATTTTGAATCCGTAGACAAATCGAGACGTTGGACCCTCAGAAAGTCGAAGGAGCCGCTGCACGCAAGGCTGCTTGGGGACGAGCGTTTATGACTAAAAGCTCGGAATCTCGGAACTCGCTGAAATTTTGCATGGTCGGTTTATTCGACCTGACACAAGTATCATATTTAACATTAGAGTTGACTCCTCCTCTTTCGTTCAGAGTGGGACCTCATACCGTAAACCTATCGTAATCTCACGAAAAAACCCCTACCATGCAAATTTGATATCGTTTTCATAATCAGCTTGTCAAATAAACCCCGTGTGCCAAGTTTCAGCCAAAATTGTAATGAACCACAATTTCTGCCCTTACACCATGCTATATTAGGTTGATGCATGATTCCTGCACCAAAATAGGTACAGACCGCAATAATCCTTCTATATATATAAAACCGAATGGGATTTTGTCTGTACACTGGTGGCTTGTCTGTACGCTGGTGGATAAGCATGCTTGTTGATGCTGTCTGTAGGTCCTCGATGGTGTTTTCGTGTTTGTCATTTTCCAGCATGGAAGCTTGTTATTACTTCTACCAAATTTATCGATTATTTGTAAATTTTGAACTACGGGGCTGGGAGTTGGCACAGGGGGGTAATCGAACATGCTGATTACGAATATGATAACCATTTTCAAAAATGCCCATTACTTTTATCATTTTATCGATTTTTTGGCAAAGTTTAAGCTACGGGGCTGGAAGTTGGCACACGGGGGTAATCGAGCTTGCTGATTACGAATATGATAACTATTTTCAAAAATGCCCATCACTTTTATCATTTTATCGATTTGTTTGCAAATTTTGGACTACGGGGTTGGGGGTTGGCACGAGAGGGTAAGCGAACATGCTGATTACGAATACAATACTGGTTTTTAGAATTATCAGTTATTTTTATCATTTTATCGATTTTTTGCAAAGTTCAAGCTACGGGGCTGGAAGTTGGCACACGGGGGTAATCGAGCTTGCTGATTACGAATATGATAACTATTTTCAAAAATGCCCATCACTTTTATCATTTTATCGATTTGTTTGCAAATTTTGGACTACGGGGTTGGGGGTTGGCACGAGAGGGTAAGCGAACATGCTGATTACGAATACAATACTGGTTTTTAGAATTATCAGTTATTTTTATCATTTTATCGATTTTTTGCAAAGTTCAAGCTACGGGGCTGGAAGTTGGCACACGGGGGTAATCGAGCTTGCTGATTACGAATTTGATAACCATTATCAAAAATGCCCATTACTTTCATCATTTTATCAATTTTCTGGCAAAGTTCAAGCTACGGGGCTGGAAGTTGGCGTACGGGGGTAATCGAGCATGCTGATTACGAATATGATAACTATTTTCAAAAATGCCCATCACTTTTATCATTTTATCGATTTGTTTGCAAATTTTGGACCACGGAGTTGGGAGTTGGCACGAGAGGGTAAGCGAACATGCTGATTACGAATACAATACTGGTTTTTAGAATTATCAGTTATTTTTATCATTTTATTGATTTTTTTGGCAAAGTTCAAGCTACGGGGCTGGGAGTTGGCACAGGAGGACAAGCGAACATGCTGGTTACGAATACAGTATAGCTTTTAGAATTATCAGTTATTTTTATCATTTTATCGATTTTTTGCATGGTTCAAGCTACGGGGCTGGGGTTTGGCACGCGGGGGTAATCGAGCGTGCTGATTACGAATATGATAACCATTTTCATAAATACCCATTACTTTTATCATTCTATCGATTTTTCTGCAGATTTTGAACTACGTGACTGGGAGTTGGCATACGGGGGTAAGGAAACATGCTGAATACGAATATCATAACATTTCAGAAAATGCCCCTTACTTCTATTGGTTTAATTGATTTTTTGCAGTGTTTGAACTATGGCGTTGGGGATTGGTACAGGCAGGTAATTGAGCATGCTGCTCACGAGCACATTTTTATTTTACAACTTGTCACTTACCTTCACTGGCTTTATCGATTTTTTGCAAAGTTTAAGCCAGGAACTGGGATTTGGCACATGGGAGAAAGCGAGCATGCCGATTACGATTGTAATAAGTGTTCTTAGAAGAACCTATTATTTTGTCGATTTTTCTATTCTTTGTAAAATTAGAGCTACACGGCTGACATTGCACAAAGTTGTATGTGAGCACGCTCACTGCAAAGATAGTTTTTGAGAATTTCCATTACTTTTATTGATTTCATCTTTTTTTCAAAGCTGAAGCTACGAGGCTCAGATGGCACTAATCCGGGGGTAAGTGAGCATGCTGAGAATTCTATATTCACACTCGGAAATGACGAAGGCGGTAAATTTACCTAGAGTTGTTAAAAATTCACTTTGGCCCGCCTTTACCTTTTTGAATCCTACTTCTGCCCCCAAAATCAGAAAAGCACATAGAGCCTGGTTTCGAGGGGAGAAAATGCTTATAAACTGAAGCGGCAAGCCTAGACTTGCTCGGAATAGAGAAGTGCGTGAGATGAAATCATTTAAGAGGCAAAATAAGCGGCAGCAAGGGACTTCAAGCTTCATTTATAGTCTTTTCTGGCTAAAATCGCATGGCCAAAAGGGTTTGAAGAGAAAAGCATTATTAAATCACCACTGAAAGCAAGCAAGATGATCTAAAACAAATTCATGATTGTTTTGCTTTTATGTAAAACAATTAAACAGCTCA